AATCTGCTTCCCAATCAAACTGTGTACTACCTGTACTTATGTAGAGCTCTAAAACTGGAAACTGACCCAAGAAAAACCAAACTGAAACAGAAATCCCAGCACTTAACATCACACATCACATGGCATATTGTAATGGATGGCAGGGAATTAAACAAAAATACAAATCGCAGAACGCTACAAAAGGAACAATGAGTTAATTTTAAAATAAGTCTTTGTCTATATTTCAGCAGACTGTTTCACAGAATTAGTATTATTATTGCAAGCCAGCAGTATACTTTACCTGAAATTTAAGACCACCAAAAAAACCTGTGTTTTCCTGATGTTAATACCAATTATGGCCAAAATCCAAGTTGTGAATATCTGAAAACACGAACCTAAGCATCATAGATTAAAAGAAAAAAAAAGAAAGCACATAAAAATTAGACAAAATGGTCCCATGTTCCACATATTCTAATCCACAACATAAAATTATTTATGGAAGAGTGTGACTAGGAATTCAGTTACTGTCATTTATCAGATGGTCAAGGCAGCACAGAGGTAACTGGCTGCATAACAACAGCACCTGAAGGCTTCTGGGCACCGCTTGCACCAGGTCTGGTTTCACCACACCAGGTACATGATGCATATTCACACGCTGGGACCCACTGCTGATTTGCAAAAACCTGACAGAAAGGCCCTCCCATAAGAGATTTCTAATCAATTTCCTTTTAATGTCTTTATAGCTGAGGAGCAGTTCTTTGTACCTCTGGTAACAAAGGAAACACAGAAGTGACAGAAGCATGTCAAAGCTGTTTATGTTTCATACAGCCTCACACTCGGATTTGCTGTTAGCAGTTTACTTCTTGGGCAGAGCATCTTAAGCCTCCACGTAGGAGCTCCACCTTCCTACAAGAAACTTTATGGAAGAGTTAACTGCACAAAGGGATGTTGAAATCATTCTCCACACTGGGTAAGCCAACATAAAACAAGAAAAGGAATTACTTTAAAAATATGACAAACGGTTAATGCAGTAATTCAGTTACCTGCAGGTATATTCAACCTTATCTAATTTGTATGCTTATGGGCTTTAGGATATAGGTTTCACACCATCGTTCTTCTCCAGAGAGGTGAGTACATTAAGGAAGTGATTAGATACGTAAATCACAGGATCTAATGATTGAACTTAATGTCATATTTAAGGTTACTGAATCAGCAAACTGCAAAATGGGAGATCTGGAAGGAAAAACAAAAAAGCAGAAGGACCAAGTAAGTCACTAACCCATGCTGAGATTTTTATCTAGAAGCCTCGACTGCAGCACAAAGAATTAGTGATCTGAAGATGATGTAGACTTCAGTGCTACACTATAAAGTTGAGGGTCTGGAAAGAGAACAGCTTTGGGATCAGGCCCTCAGCTGTCTGAGTTCCATGGGTCCATAGCCTACAGCAGCAAATTCAAGCGATTGATGGAGCTTAGTGGACAAGTCATTACAAGAATTCAAGACCATGCCCAGCATAAAGAAGGCATGATAGAAAACCTCAGCAAAAATTTTAAAGAGAGACCAAAACTTCAAAGTGCAACAGAAAACTCCAAATGAGTCTTAAGATTAAAAATAAATTGCACAACAGGGGTATGATGCAAGTTACAAGGGTTAAACAAGGTGGGACAGCCTGGAATTTCACTCTCCATTTACAGATAATGGGGTACTTTCTCACCCTGATGCTGTGTGTGAGTTTCCACCACCGCACACAAAGGCAAGAAGGGAAGGAAAAAATAATTATTTTGGTCTTTTATTTATTTTTTTCCTCTGCTTCAGAAGATGGGTTCATCAGGTATCGGAACTAAATTAAAAGGTCAGGAAAACAAGGAGGCATGGACAAGACTGAATTGCAGATGAGCATGGAGAAGGAGAGACACAGCACTGGATAAGCGCCAACAGCTGCAAACAGTCACGGTCCCGATTCTGGTGCCCAAAGCCCAGCGGCTCCCAGGGACACCACGGATCGCTACCTGGCAGAGGAGGACGCCTGGGAGCAGAGCAGCATCGCCGGAGAGACTGTCACAGAAACCTGGGCATAATGAATTCCGCTCGCAAACAGGCACTAAAAGTGATAGCACCAGACACAGCGCTCAGTAAACCCAAAAATCACATCTAATTCCTAGATCCGTGCCTTCCTCTCCTTTCATTGAGAAGATTTCCAGTCAACATACACACTATATACTTTTTATTATTGTTTGAAGAAGAGCAGCAATGCCGGCAGCATGCTAATCTAGAAACCAAGACAAAACAGAGCTGGTTACTTTCTTCCCTCAAGATTTCTGCTTCAAAAAAAACCACATGAACAAGGGTTTGTTCCTGCACACCACCACTTTTTGTTTCGTTTCAGCAAGACTTTGACAAAATCTAATTCACCGTGCCATGGCTTTAATATATTGGGTATCTGAAGTATGACCATCACTCAATAGAAACGTAATTAAAAAGTGACAAAACTAGATCCCCCCCACCCCTCCCCAGCATGCAGATGAAAACCAGTAACCCTGCCTCTATTTGTAACCATGACAACTATAGAATATTTTATTTCCGTAATATAATTCACACTGAACGTTTGCTCATAGGTTTTGTTGTTAAGGGAAAGGTTGACACACTGTGCACACATTTCATAAGCTACTGGAGACAACAAATGCAGGAAAGTCAGGCAGTTGGAGACCAAGAGCCCAGTTTATATTTCAGAGTTCATTTAAGACCCTTCATTGAATGCAAAATGAACATGAAGAGAAATTCACCCAAATTAGGTGTTACAGGTCATTATTTGCAAGACAAGTACTTGGTATGACAGGATGTTTTTCCACTTTTAAATAAATCAGTGATAACTAACTCTTTGAAAAAATGGGGGTATTTCAACACCAAATGTTAATTTTCAATTAAAATAGGCATTATTAGGAAATATCAACTATTAGGAAATATGGATGTTATGGGGAAAAAAACAGCTATGCAAAACAAGGCAACGAAATGCACAGTTTACATATGCAGACTAAGTCTCATTCTGGTTCGGTCACTAAATTGTTTGCATAGCTCCAATATTTCATCCTAAACTGAAGATAACTTCTAGAAATACACACAAGAACAGGTTATAGGAATAAACAAATAAAAAGCCACAATCCTGAACATTACTCAGAGAAGATTAAACAGCCTCCCAAGCATAACTGAAGTTTGATGCAGATAAATGTCAGAGTAAAATATTGCTGTACTTGATTTTTCTGCACATGGGAAAAAAAATAAAGCTATTAGTAATTTAAGCCAGAATACAACAATAATAGACACACTTGCTTTGGTTATGAGGTAAAAATAATAAAAAAAGAATAAAGCTTATGGAACACTACCCCTTTTCTCACACAGATCCTATCTTTCAAGGAGGATTTAAAGTTTCAGCAGATTTCTAATTGTAAGAAACAATATCTGTTACCTGCAGTCACCTTAAAGCTACAGTAGTTTGGGTTTGTGAAAGTATATCAAAAGAAGAACCTGATAAACGTGTTTAAATCGGTGCTAGAGACTCACAAGTGCCTACACACACACTTGCTCAGCTGTTTTCAAGACTACCAGGAAAAAGAAAGTTTCTTCATTTATCGGAAATATTCTCTGTATAATCTTCCATTTAAACAAGTAATAAGCCTGCAGCAAACATGCATGGCTTTTTCCTTTATTGATGGAAAAGTGATTAAATCCCCCTTAATCTAGTTACCAGAATGCTATATTTTTTTTTTTTTTCTGTGCAGTTTTCATATACAGTAACAAAAGATAAGCAGCCAACTACATGACCAGGGCTCCATCATTTTTGGTTGTGGTGGGGAGATAAAGCTGTCTCCAGCGTTCAAGGGATATTTTCAGTTTAATAAATAAGACCAGAGGAGGAAAAATAAAATAATCTTGGAGACGATGAGCACACACTGTTTATGAAGTGTACGATAAACACCACCATCCATCTCCAGAAGTCCCTTCCTCCATTCTCCGGGGAGGCACAGAGACCTGAACCCAAAATCCCGGGGATCACAGACCTGCATCCTCAGGCGACAAGGACAGCTCGCCACGTCCACTCAATGTCAAAAGAGAAAGTAGCTTTTCCCTCCCAGCCTAAGCCAGACCTTCCGAAAACCAGCACCCAAGGGATGCACCTCTGTGCTCCGAACGGCACCAGGCAGCATTCGGGTCCGGAGACAAGTTACAGGAAAACAACCCTCAGGGTTAAAAAAAATAAAAGGGGAAAAAAAAAAAAAAAAGGAAAGGATCAATGGAAAAGCACAGCAGCAGCCAAACAAACCTCACACCGGCGAGGACATGTCATCGGCATGGGAATCGTACGAAATATTTTAATATTTACATACACGCAAATATATATATATATATATGTATTTCAGCAATATTGTGCTGAAAAGTTCCTCGTATGTATCACGCGTGAGGATGTAGAGAAGCAAGCAAGGGAGAAAGGGGAACGGGAATGCAAGGCAGGCAAGGGAGAGGACGGGGCTGGCCGAGGCGTTTGGGAAGCAGGCGGGGAGGGAAGCAGGCTGCCTGCGGGGTGCGCGCCGAGCCGTGCCAGGCACTTCCGCGGCGGCTGCGGGAGCGGGCCCGGGGATGGGATGGAGGATCCGCCGGGACAGCCGCCCCCGCACGGATGGGGGTCTGCGGGGACACCGCCGCCCCCGGGACCGGGGCGGGGGGAGGAACCGCGCGGCCACCGCCGCTCCCCGAGCGAGCGCCTGAAGTTGTGGGTGCGCGGCGGGGGCGGAGACCCCCACGCCAAAATGAAAAAAACCCCAGAAAAAACCCCAAACCACCTCAGCAACATTCTGAGGGCCCGCCGGCCCCCGCACGGCACCCCCCAGGCAGCGGGAGGCACGCAGGAAGTTTTTAATGCGGGCAGCGAGCGCAGGCGCAGGGCAGCCCCAGCCGCGCGATGCCCGGCGCGGCGGGCGGGCGGCGGCGGGGGCTCGGCGGGCGCAGGGCACCGCCGCGCCGCTTACCTCCCTCCGCGGGGGCGCAGGCGGCCGCGTCCTCAGGCGGCGGGAGGATGCGCGGCGGCGGGAGGCGGCAGCGGCGGCTCGGGCATCGCAGCCTCCGCCGCTAACGCAGAGCCCCGCGCGGCTGCGGGCGCCGGGAGCCGCGCTGGAGGCCGGGCAGGGAGGCGCGGCGCGGCGGCGGAGGCTGCTGCGGAGCCGCGACCATGCTCCCGTCTGGCCGCCTTCCCCTCACCTACTACCCGCTTTAGCCAGGGAGGGAGGTGGCCTGGGCGCCGGGGCGAGGGGCGCGCCGGGCCAATCACCGCGGCGGCGGGAGGCGGTGGAGCCCGGCCCGGCCCGCCCCGTCCGCCGCGCCGCACCGCCCCCGCGGTGGAGCCCGGCCCGGCCCGCCCCGTCCGCCGCGCCGCACCGCCCCCGCGGGAGGGAGGGAGGGAGGACAGAGGAGCGGCCCCGCCGCCGCCCCGTGGGGCGGCCCCGCCGCGTCCTGCGCGCCCCTCCGCGCTGCCCCGCCCGGGCGCAGGTGCGGGCGGCGCCGCAGCCCCGAGCGCTCCCGCGGCCCGCGGGGGCCGTGCGGGCGGACAGCGCGTTCCAAAGGTCACCGCGCTCCCGCTGCCCGCGGGAAAGCCGCCGGCACTTGGAAAGAAATAGTGCCCCGCTCTATGAAATCGCCGCTCCCCGGGGTCGTGGTCCCGGGCCTCTCCAAGTTCACTGGAGTGTTGGAATATGTTGATACCGTTCTTGCCCAACAGCGCGATTTTTTTTTTTTTTTATTATTATTTTTATACCCATCGCGTTTGGAGTCACAAGAGATTTTCCGCGCGGAAATCTGCATCTGTCTCTCTCTTCTGTATAATCTTGTATCTGCGTGTGCTGCTTTGTAGGGATCTCTCTGATGTGCACACAAGCTGCATATGCTGTAGTTTTAAACACAGAACACTTTGTCTTTTATATTTCCTGTAAGCATAAAAATAAGCTTAATCAAATTCTTTTCTCCTTACTTGGCTGGTTAAAAAAATGCATCTATGCTCTAACGTGTTAGAAGAAAGGCAGTTGTGCCAAATGCCAGCAAAGGGAAGGGAGGAAAACACACAACCCACAGAAACAGGGAAATCTATGTTTTTATTGGAAAAGGGACACGTGCTGCCCGATGCCTGGAGGAAGCAGGGTGCAGCACCAACAGAGCAATTTCGTTTTCTCTCTTCCCAACCTCGTAAACAAATGAAAATTATTGCAGTGGACTAAAACAGTTCTAAACCCAGCCATCATCATTAATATTAGAATGCTTTTAGCTGAATATGGCCTCACGCTGGAACAGACAGGCTTCATACATTTTTGTCTTTCACATACCATGGACTAACATTGAAACCTCCAGTCCTGTACATCACAGCAGAGTGTGAGGGTCAGAAGTTCAGAACAGTTTAAAGCTGAATTATTTAGCACGTGCACACTCGACACAATCTTCTGATTTCCAAACTGTTTTTTCCCCCCTCGGTTTTCTGCCTTTCGAACAGGAGAGCCCTGCCCAGTGTTATTTGCCCTAGTGGAGCATTATTTGCCCAGCATATATGGTTGACTCAGAATCTGACGAAGCTGATGAGAAGAAGCCTCAATGGGACTGTTGACCTAACAAGTAGCATGTCAGTCTCCTGGTGGCATTTGAATGTTCTCGCAGCGAATGCTTTGAGACAGGAGGGAGCATAAAGCAGAGATTCTTTGGAATCCTTAATTAGACACAGTGATTTTGGAGTACTGGCTTCTGCTGCTATCCTCCAGTGCCTAGTAGTTTGTTTTGTGACCTTGAGGTTAAGGATACCAACCAGCCCTGTTTATTTTTAATAAAATCTTACAGTTATATGAGACAGTTCTAGGTTTTATTTATTTTTAGCATAAGTGCTTCCATCTTATCTTCCTCACAGGTTTATAGTAAGGATTTAGCTAATATTTGGAGAGCACTTTTAAGCTATGAAGTCCTATGTGTCATTATACTGACCATTTTCTGCATTTTTCATTTTTAGGAAAGTACTTCCATACTCTCACTTCAGGAAGATAGAGTTCAAATCTTGACTTTAGTTTTCCCATCAAATTTTGTCAAATACCTGATTTACAAATGGTGACACAGGGTCAGATTCTGCATTCAGTTACAGGTAATGAATTTCAGAGAATTTCTTGATCCTTGGTGACTTTGCTCTAAATCTAAACCAGTTTGACTCAGAATTAGCATCACAATTTCATATTCATGGACAATAAGCATTTGATTACACTGAATATACCATTATACTTTAATTTTCTTGCTCCAATTTTTAGTGACTTCAGTAATTTAAGAAGAAAGTGCTTCATTTTATTATTTTTTTATTATTATCCTTTCTTTCTCTGCTCCGATTCTGAGAAGAAAGCTGACAGGTTTTGTAGAAAAGGTCAGGGGGCTGAAAAGTTATTTGGGGGCATCCTGCTGCTGATGAAGTGAAGCAACAGTCTGCAAGTTTTTAAAAATTAAGATGAATATCTGGAGAAATTCCCCATGCTTGGCATGCTAATCCTGGCACTGGAAAAGATCCACTTCCACTCTCATCCTTTCTCAGCATTTGGGAAATCCTGTCCCTACTCTTATGTAGTTCAAGTTTTAAGGGAAGCAAACCATTGTTCACATAATAACACTGAAAACAAGGATCCTTCCAATGCTAATGAAACAAAATATCTATTTCCAGAAACACAGATATTCTGGGGTGAGGGGTTTATTTGGATGGGGCTGTGGTTTTTTTTTAATAGAATCTGTTAAAGGGTTGTGCTTGACAGGCTGAGGATTATTTGAAAGGATCCCAATTTTGGATTAGGCAGCTGATAGCCTGCAAGACTTTGGTGGCTGGTAAAGCTTGCTCCTCTGAAAGAAGAGATTTCCTCTTTTAGCAATAGATCATTATGCTACAAGGCGTGTATTAGAATGAGAATAATACAACTTCCCCTGTCTTTGCTGATCATATCAAAACTAATGGCATCTTGAATTGTCAGAGCATCAAGTCCATCTTCTGATAAAATATTGGAAGACACACAGGTCTATTCATCTTATTGGAGATTTCATTTTAGTCTGAAAAATATTTGATGGCAATGCCATTAGATTAGCTGTGGGTATGTATCACAAGGACCAGCATAGTAGTTGAGTACTAGGATTTTGCAAAGAGGTTCCTATAAATATTTCCTGCTTTGTGGTAAAACTTATCTCCTAGGTTTGTATATGCTTAAGGGAGTGAAATTATTATTTACTTCAAGGGATTCAAAATATAATTCTTTAGATTGCTACTAAATTTTTTAATGCAGGTTAAGCTGTTTCAAAGGTAATGAAATTTCATCTCCAAAATTATTGCCTGAGATTTTTTTAAGCATAGCCAAAGAGGAATGTCTGCTACCCTGACCTTAACTGGAAGGTTTCACTTCTGCTTTCAGCTAATGAAGATCTCCTTAATTACAGGTTTACAACATAGACTCTAATGTCAATGCATTAATTTTCTGCTGTCTGAAAATGTTAATAGATCTGGTAAAATATCTAGAAAATATGGTAGTAGATATTTTGTATATTCACAGGGTTTAGGGGTTCTGAAACAGTCAGTGGAGATTTTAAAGATATGTTAGGGTTTTTTCAATAATCTGGTTTTATTTATTTGAAGTATAAAGACTGTTTGCTTCTGCTTTAGCATTCATCTCTATTTATCTGTTACAATTATCCTTAGCATTTAACAGAAAGATAATGCCCAAAGGAAGCAGGAAACGGCATTTCAAGTAATTTTTATCTGTGCAGTTTGAGTTAATTGCCAAAATATGAATTTAAGATGGATTAAAACTACTAACCTGTGGAATTCATTGAAAAACAGAGTTGATTTCAATGGGCACACCATGTTAAATGAAATACCTCCTTCTCTGAGCAAACCTTTTATCTTCAGCTGAGCAACTAAAGCTGCTCTCAGGGGTGGGAAGGCAGAGGTGGCAGGTAAAATGTCCTGTCACCAGAGCTGCTTAGAAAAGCACTCTGTCCTTCACATATCCCAAACCATGCCCACCTCCATGTCATTTGCAGGGTAGTCATCAAGGCAGGCAACTATTGTGAAAAGAATCAACCTTCAGACAAGAAGAGGAGTGTCAGATCATCACTGTTTGGTTGATAACCTACTGGGGGACATTATTGTACCAAGTGATGAGGAAGATATGTGATCATCCCCATATTCCTGTATTTTTTTTTTCACAAGGGGATTATATTCTTAGTCATCAACTTTGCATATCCCTGACTTTCTCAGGCATTTAGCTCTTTAACCTGACCACAAACTGTTTGCAGACACACACACACGTCTCTGTGGGCAGAGGTTATGGAGTCATTTGCTTGGAATTGGTGAAATAAAGATTTGTGTGATTTTAGGTGTATGAGCCAAAACGTCCTTGTCCCTGACTTGTCAAGGGAATGAGAAGAGTCTGATCCTCTAAGAGCAAGCAGTATATTGAGTTGATTTCTCTTAGCTATGACAGAACCATTTGCTAAAACTTCCCCCAGAAGACAGAAGCAGGTTCTGCTGGAGTTGTGATTGTGATTTCTGATGGGCAGTAATAAAAGTAAGATCTATTTCACTATACTAGCAGAGTCTAGAGCACTGTCTTGAATTATTTGAAAATCTCTAATGGTTAGGGATAGCAGAGAAGTCAGGTTTCTGTTGGACTTTTTGAAAGTTTATGAAGGTTCTGTTAAACAACTTTATTTCCAGTCACCTCTAGTCCCACTCAGTCACATGGAAAGGCATTTTCATTGCTATTGAAGTCATTGCATCAGCTGCTTGAGTTTTATCAGAGTAACTCCACTACACTGGTTTATGAGGGAGTATGTGGGAGGAATTGGACTTTCAAGGTGATTTTAGAGGGAGTTATGTTGTTTGATTTGTTTGTCTAAAGCAGTAACAATATGTTTCCACCTATTCCTCATAATTATACAGGGAGAACTAAAATACATGCCATTTTGAACTGAATGTCTGTATTAAATTGGTTTGACTTCTATTTTTCTACCATCTGTGGCATAACTAGAACAGAGAGTGAGAACAAAAAAAAATAAATGACTCAGTCACATTTCCTTTAGAAGAGGCATCATGCCCCCCATTCTTGTCA